TTGAATATGAAGTCCTCTGTGTAGTATGTGTGCATAATCCTTAATGGGTGTGTTTGTGCCTGTTCTTGGACTAGAACTTTTGGGGAGGGAGGGGGTGTTGATGAATTGGAGCTCAGGATTATATTTTGAAGTTAGGATTGAGTAGAATTATCTAGTGGGTTCTTTAGATAATGCTCGAGGGTTCGGCTGTTTGGTCTGTCTAGTGTCGATCATTACAGTCGATTCACCTAACTTGCTTGATTATCAAAATGTCTGAAATTTGGTATGGTTTTTTAGACACTTGGTGGCAAATTTTGACAAAGAAGCTTTCTTTTTTAATAACAAAAAAATCAACATGTCAAATGATCTTGGCATTGTAAAACATATTTACAATGTTAAACAAAATAGTTTTATGCATGCATGTAGTGTTTGTAGAGCACATGACTATCAGTAACAATTAGAAATCCATATAAGTTGATAAATAATTTTTGGGACTTTGGTCCTTAGTTGTGATTTGAATGAAAATTGCATAAAGTTTGAGTAAGAGAACTAGACAAAGTTGAGTATGGATATAGAGGACTTGGAATGTTGTAAAAATGGATGATTTATAGTACTGTTCTTTTGTCTTGTGGGAGCATGGTTTTTTGCCTAGAAGTGGCTTTTAAGTTTTCAAAGTCGAGACTAAGTATATCTTGGTTGTCTGTCGAGGGAGAATCTTCATTTGGTTTATGGTGGTGCATGGAGTTTATTCTCCAATAACAACATGTTTGAGTTGTTGGTCATGACATTGGTTATGCTCTGTAAAAGGTGAAGACGCCGATGCAGTGGTAATGAATCAAGATATGGAATTAAAAACTCATTATTGCATATCGGGTTGGAATCCTCTTGTCTGCAATATATTTGTTGTTAATTACTAGAAACTTTAATGTGAGCAAAGTCTACTTATTGTTGTTGCCTTTGGTAGTAGAATAACTATTTTTTGTGTCAAAATGCTAGATAGAAGTTGTTTTTAGATTGTTGTCCAACTAAAGATGAGACATTAATTATATTAGTTATGAGTCATGACCTTCGGGCTTAGATTTGACCCCTATGTAAAAGAGTGATGTAAGGTTTTTAGCTTTTTAGATGTCATTGCATGTCTATCATGACTATTAAGAACATGGATTTATTGGCTTTCATGTGTTGATTGATCTTTGTCAATCAACATGCCATTTGTGTGAGACTGAATGTTCGGCTTCTGTATTTTTGTCGGGAGGAGACAAAAGTAGTGATTGATCTTTGTCAGTCAACATGCCATTTGTGTGAGACTGAATGTTCGGCTTCTGTATTTTGTCGGAGGAGACAAAAAGTAGACAGTCTTCTGCTTTTATGGATGCAAGTTATATAAAATGTTTATGGTCTTATGTCAAATTTTTCAGTTACTAAAGTAATATTTTTAATATTTTTTTTTGTTCTTGAGGTTTGTGTTTCTAAATGTTTACTTTGACAAAATTGGTAGGCACTCATTTTTTGGTCTTTATGGTGTTGCACAAATTCCTTGTCTTATCTGATTCTAACTGCCACATAATGGGCCCGTGATCGAAGTTTTTTCATAACTTCCGGTGTGTTACATTTGCTCCTTCCTTTCTCCTATTCTAAATCTTTTACTATGGTGCTCTAAAGCTCCAAAAGGAAAAAGAGAAGGAGAGGAAAGAGAAGAAAGAGAGAAGGAAGGAGAAGAAGGAGAAAAGGAAGGAGAGGAAAGAGAGAAGGAAAGAGAAGAAACACAAGACAATTCAGAATGTGGGGGAGTCAGATGTCCAGAAGCTTCATGTTACCAAAGACAAGTCTGGTATTCCGAAGGATGATCTTGGGCAAAAGAGCTCTTCTGATTTACTTCAGAAGAAAAGAGAAACTGAAAATAATCAGTTAGAACAAAGCAGTCTCACGGAGGAACATGCACGCCCGGTTACTTTGTATGTTCCAAGCTCTTCTTCTGAAAGCACAGAGAACAGCAAAAAAAGGAAGAGGCTCTCTCCACCTGAAGATGATACTTGTAGTAATGGTACTTTCTGAATCTCAAAACTCCCTCTTATTTAGGTATTTATCTTATAAAATTTGGTTTAATTACAGAAATTGCCCCTGAAATTTAATATAATTACAAAAGGCACATCCCCGACAATTGCAACTCATAGACAAAGAGGGGCTTTTTTAAGTTTTAATTGTAAAATACGGAAAAATTATTTGATATTATCTTCATTGGTACTTTCTGCGACTGTTCCTAGTGTGTAGTTATGTTTCTAACTTTGTGTCATTATTGTGCAACAGGCCAAGTCATCCTGATACGTTTGCCCTCAACGAAGCAGAATGAGCTTGACGCTTTAGTCAAGGAACAACAGCAGCCATGCTCGACATCCGGAAGGATAGACTCTCCTTCCAAAATTGATCATGTGAAAGATTGGCCAGAAAGCTTTCCAAACGGGACCAGAAGTAATGGCCGTGACCTCAATGCCAAAAATGGGGGTGAAAATGTCTGTTTGACTTCCCTACAGAAGTGTGATAAAATTGGACATAAAGCTAAGCCAGAATCAGTTTTGAGTTCCATGCAAAAGATGGATATGCAGTACCAAAATCTGTTCAAGAACCTTCTCCCGCCACAGGTTGAAGAAACATGGCTTTGTTCGGACAGTTTGGATTGGCTTCTCGAGGGCAATAATCAACGAGGTCAAGAACTACGAGCTGAGAAGAAGCCGTGTTATGAAAATGTGAGCCTATCCTGCTCAAGAAGCTCTGTATCGTGGCCACGTGTGGAGTACTTGCCTGAAGTGGATGTTTATGCTCTGCCTTTCACGGTGCCTTATTGAGCTGTATTCGTATATTTGGTGGAGACCTTGGAAGCTGTTTGTCTTTTGGTGCTCTGCTGGAGGATTGTTAGGATTTGCCTCTTTTGGGGGCAGCCTCAAATTTTGAGGACAGTGTCTGAAATTTGTCTGCTGACTATTCTTTACCTCAGAGTGTAACCTAGTTCAATTAGATTGTGTATGTAGTAATGCGACAATATCTGGTAGCCCAACTTTATTCTAGTTGATGCCGTTTATGTATTAATAGATGACTATCTTTATGATCATATTTCTTGTATGTGCGTATCTTCAATGTTTTTGAGCTCAACAAAGCCTAACTCAACAAAAGTATACAGGTGATTGAGATCGACTTGAATTTTTTAGACCCAAATTATGTTCCTAGTCCGGCTTACAATTTAAATTAAAATATTTCAAACAGATTTTTAGGCTTAATTTTGTCAATGTTTTTGAGCTCAACAAAGCCTAATTCGACAGAAATATACAGGTGATTGAGATGGACTTGAATTTTTTAGACTCAAATTTTGTTAAAACTTTGGCTTAAAATTTAAATTAAATATTTCAATTAGATTTTTCTCGTTTTTTTTAGACCCAAATTTTGTTCCGAGTTCGGCTTAAAATTTAAATTAGATTTTTTCTTGTGTACGAGTTTAACTTGAGTCAGGATTAAAACTTTGACTCAGCGCATGCTCGAGTTTATATCGAGTTCGAACTACTCGAGCTCAAGCCAAACTTTGACTCAGCGCATTCACGTGCAACTTGCATTCCTAGTTTTCCTCAATCAAAATTTTGAAGACATAATTGTGCGGGAGAGATCCAAATGAGTTTAGGTATATAGTTGT